ATTTAGATTAGCACCTCTATAGTGCATTCTAAATTCTTTATGTTTTCTTTTTACATATGATTCATTCGACAACACTTTTGCATCAAGTCATTTGTCACTTGTCATACTTGTCATTGAAAAATTTAAACACTTTCGTGTCTCTCTCTCTCTCTCTCTCTCTCTCAATATCTTTAAAATAATCATTTTCTTGCGCTATTATTACAATATGATACTCAATGTAAATACTCACGTTTTTTTCTTTATCCTTTTCATTAATATTATTTTTATATTATTTTTCTTCAATATATTTAATTTTTGTTTGTTATTATTCTATGTTAATTTCTGCGCGCTTGCTTATATTTTAACAATGTAGTTTCTCCGACTGTCTGCTTGCATGTAGCACTTTGTTTTTAAAGGGCTTGTCCTATGACAGCAATAAATGCAATATCTATTTAGCCATCTTCTTATATTATTTTAATTTTTATCTTATTCTTATGTTACTTCATTGTTATCAATTTTATTCTACGTAACCGTGGCTATATATTGTATTCATATGTTGCCGCACTTAAGGAAAATTTGGAACCCCAGAACGCTTAAATAAATATCGATTCATCATCATTGTCACCTCTCTCTTTCTCTCTCTCTCTCTTTATCACGCAAAAATAAAGAAAAGTTATAAATCACTCAAACGATATATTTCGTATTTGAAACGTGAAAATGGGTCGAAATTAAGTCTACAGAAATCTGAATAGAATTACACGTGTCGTGGTTCACGAAGAAAGTTCTTAAGCGCGTTCGAGGTGGATGAAACCCCGCGAGAGAACGTGTTCGCGAGGATACTCGCGTTACGTTACAAAAGATGGAGAGGTTAGCCGTGGCGTGCCACGGTGAAATTAGCCGAATTCTCCTTCTTTGTCGAATCGTTTGAGGTTTTCGTTGCTTCCGTTGCGCCTTTTGTTTACTCGCAAACGCGAAAGCGCAACGAACTCTTCGCGTACAATGCGGATCCAGTATAGGTACGTTGTACATACATCCAGCATGGAATTTGGGCACGCAGCAGTTTAAGGCTGTTTCAGACGATAGCAAATAATTTTGAATTTTTGAGATCTTCATACAAGATCACCTATCAAGACCTATATTTACCTGATTAATTATACATATGACTGTACTTAAACTGTGAACTATATGTTTAAACAACTTTTATTAAATAAGTATTATTATTTACTAAAATGTTGAAATATGTTGCGCAAGAATAATATTAACTCATAATTCTTAAAATCGATTGAAGAAGAACCAAGTCTTGTACGAAAAGACTTGATTTTATTTTTTTTCGTTCACTTTGCACATAAAATTATTCTTTTTCCTTGTGATTATATGCGAGAGAACTGGTATACTCAATAAGGTCAATTCAATATACATATATGCGATTGTATTAGCAGTATTAAGAAATTCGTATATATCGATACCTTTTAACAAGCGTCTACCTGATTCATTTGATCATGAGGCATTGGCTCAAAAGCCATTACTAAAAAGTCGTTTCGAGCAGTCTGTATTCTGCTTCTCAACTGGAATGATCGTCTTCAGACAGTATATGACGTTCTGAGAATATTTTAAGGATATTTTAATTATTGCTCTCGAGCAGGAAATGATTAGAAGAAAATAAATTTGCGGAATGTTCTGAAAATATTCTCAGAATATATTGTGTGCTGGATCAATAACGATCTGGATCAATAACGAATAAATTTCGTTGATTTGCACATTATTATTACGCAATACAGTTACGTTTTTTTAATAAGCAGAAAAAATAAGGAAGAAAAAATAAAAGGCAGTGAGAGGATCAACAGTGAAAAATTAATTTTGTCTATCTCTTTCTATCTTTTGACATAAATATGGCTTGATTATTTTTTCTCGTATGAATTTGCTCGAAGCTTTATTAAGTCTTTGCTTATTTTAGGCAACATTAATAGCACAAATAATAATCCAAGCGTGAATAATCCACGCATATTCACAATTTGCTGTTAATCTAATTGGATCAATTGATTTTTTATCCTCCCGTGCCTCGGTTTTTGTAAAATTCGTGCCTTTTAAATTTATGTAACATATATTTGCTGCTTTTAGCAAAAAAGCAGCTCTCTGCAACTATTATAAAATTCTTTAATACGATTGATTTGTACATTTAGATCCTGCGAGAAACGCAAGAGCGAGACCAATCATATTAAAGAATTTTACAATAATTGCAAAGCTGCATTATGCTTTCTCTGCTGAACGCAACCATTCTAGCTCTACAAATAAGGGAAGTAAGCGCAACGAAACTCTTAATATTTATCTATACTATTTTTTATCAATAATTAGTATTTATAATTAGAATTACTGATGAGAGGCTATAACTTAAGCTTTTTTTATCAATTCTATTAATTTTAAACTGAAACGTCAGTCAAAATGAAAGAACTATATTTTGAAAGAATTAGTTTTATCTTTTTACTTTAATTTACTCGTCGGTTCCTATTATAATTTTATATTACTAGGCTGTGTGCTTCTCTTGCCTGAGAAGCAGGTTAAAGAAGTAGTCAAGTAGATATCATGTTCACACTATCGCGCGATATTCCTGCCTAAATATTTTACGACATGTACACGGTCAGAGTGCACGCTAAATATCGAACTATACTAGTTGACGTAAACCCAACTGTCGCTAGTACTGTCCAGATGACCTCTAGACGAGGCTATACCTACCGACTTGTTTGCCGAGCACTAACTTTAACGAGCTTTATTAATGATAATCGATTCGCGTACTTGTAGAGCGTAACGATTGATCATACGAGGTCGATGCGCCGCTGTTGAATACTATCGCGACTGCTTTGTCCATAAATCGTTCCCAATGGAAAGTAATAATGGCGCTTTATCGTGTCTCCATTATTTAGTCTCTTATAACGGTTCGCGATCTCTCATATAGTCGTATATTTTCGACATCAGCTTATTTCGCACTTTCAGTCTGCATTATTTTTTAGAATTGAAATACGAGATACTCGTTTTTCACGACCAATTTCATTGCAAATTGATCGAAAAATTAATTGTTTGCGACTCTTCTAGAATATATCTATATTTTTATACTATTTAGATTTTTGTCAACTTATTTAAACAATATAGAAAATAGTAGTCCCTATATATATATAATACCATTGATTAAATTATTGTCGCAATTACATACAATATTTGTTTTTAGTATTCTTTATGTGCAAAAATATAAGTACAATAAAAATCATACGTTTAGTATTTATGGCAAATCTTCTTTGTTGAAAAAAATGTTTTCAAATTTTATTTATTGACGTGTAAATATACGTAAAACATATATTTCTTTCCTGTATTTAATAATCCTCATTTATGCGACACGATAAGAAAAATCGATACCAAGAGCTACTCCTCATTTTTTGTCCCATTCTCTTCTCATAATATTGTTAGACATATCGCAGGACGCGCAACGAGACCCACCAACGAGCGTGACTCGCTGAGGTAGTCCTTATTAAATCTTCCCCGTCTCCATTAGAGGCAGAAATTACGGATAATCCTTTTTATTACGCACGCTACACGGACTCCCATGGAAAGAGAGCGCAGAAAGGCAACCGGTACGTTAAAGAAAAAAAGTCGGGATGGGTCGCGGCCACGGTTCGACGCGGCATGGTGGTCCGCGCTTCCCATTCCCGACAACAAAGCGCTTTTAAACAATCTCCATTGTGCTCGTAATCCCGAGCCATGCGTGAAATCAACACGTTTTTCCACTTAATTGACAAACACACGCCTCTCCGTCCATGTGTTCCCGGGCGAGCGCCCACCAAACATGACTTATATCATAACATATTTCAAGTATATAACGAGTAATATAACAGTGTTACTTTCAACTGAACCGTTTCAAGCCGAAACGATCACATTTTACAGGGAAGATCTTTTACTCTTAGACGGCTTGAAATATACGTTGCGCTACAAGAAATTCTCGAACACGCTAAACAAGTTCTTAAGAAGTTTGCTAAATTCGCAATATTTCCCGGGGGAATACAAACATAATTTTTGTATTCCTCTCTCAAACGTAAGTTAATTTCTTAAAATAAACTCCATTTCAATGACTTCTCTGTAAAATATATATGAGTAACAAAAAATTAATATAAATAGAAATTTATATATAATGTACTCTCATCGTATGAATGATACAAATCGGAAATTCCTCGTCAATAATGGTAAGGATAGAATACAGAGGGCAAGAATGAAAAAAAAAACCACTTTTATGTGTATCACGTTATTCTACGTATATACAATAATTTATTTCGCTACGAATCGTTTCTACATTTACAAATCATTTTTGCTCGAGCGAGTACGAGTACAGAATATAGATGGATGCGACAATGCACGAATGTAACCAGCAGCCTCTTGTCTTTTACGAAGTGCAAGGCTTATAATTTAGGCTGCGTTCCGTTTCACGCATATGCACGCATTCACCTACAATATACGTGACGCTCACTATATAAAATGCGCGCATATGCCAGAAACGGAACGCAGCCTTATAGTCGACGGTACATTACGCAAGAGAACGCATTTAGTAGCATTCCACGAAAATTTGGATGATGATGCAGTTTCAACTTTTACAGATTTAATACCGAGACTGTATTAATTGGACAATTTCTATAGAAAAGGAATCAAAGTACCTCTTTGTGTCTATTTCACGAAAGTAAAATATGTAGATTTTTTACGAATTTCATTTAGAGAGAAGAGAATATTCGATCAGAGTTACAAAAGTAATTTACAATGTAAATCTTAATCTACTTTTGTAAACCAACGATTGGTTTTCTTAGAATTTAATTATTAATAAGTTAGTTGTATTAATCTATAAATATATTTACATTTTTACAAAAAGACAGATAAATAAATAAAAATATGAAGGAATGAATATCTGTTACTTGCTCGTGATTTCTTCGATTCTTATGAATAGTGAAAGAGTACAATTTTTTTCCATATAGATATTTTCAAAACGCGAGGAGAAGAGTTTCTATGTAAACTTCTTAAATTGGTGATAATTAAGACCGGCACTTTCGGTTCCTTTTGTATAAAATGTTCCAATAAAATAGTTGCACAGCACAAAACCAACCTTCGAAATTCATATTTGTACATATATGAATCCTAAAATTAGCTTCGCGTTGTTAATTTCGTGTGCTAAACTTAACGTCGGTATAGCTGTGCTCGCGCCCGCGTCTAATTGTTTAGAGATCGTCTAATTAGTTAATTACATAGGCGAAAGTCGCCGATTCGGGGTATCGCTCTCGTACGGTAGCCGTAAATTACGAATAATTCTAGCTAACTGCTCGCGAACAGTTTACTTCGTAAGTTTTAGAGACCAAGCGACTCTCGTCTGCGCGGCGCACGAGACGAAAACCAATATCAGCAAGCAAAGACCTTCCGATTAGAGAACGGCCTTTACAAAACGAGGAACTAACGTCGATTATCCACGATGTCTCCCCCCCCCCCACGTCTGCATCGCATCGATTCGCGGTGAATTGGACGAAAGATCACGTCGCGATCGAGCTCGAAAAAAGAAAAGCATCCACGATCATCTCTCGTTCGAACTTCGTCGCGTTACCACTGAATAATGTAATAAGATAGTGTCGATTTTACGATGTCAGTAGTAAACAGCAATTCTCGCGGACGCGTTCTCATAAATACGTTACACCTTCGCTTATCTAACACAGATTCTGATCGGAACTTTCTACACTTATCGGTGCGTGTATTTACGCGAATGCTGTATTCGGCATGATTTGGGCATAGCTATACATAGAGGAGTACCGCGGATCATTTTCTCTCATTTTCCGAAGGACACCGTGTAGATATAAGTGAAGGTGAAATGTATATGATAATGCAGACGGCACGATATCCAGGGAACGTGGTATAGAAGTGTCGAAAGCACACTCGGTATCTTTGAGCCAACATCCTCTTTAGAGGATCTTCGAAGACGCGCTGCTCATCATGAATTCTCGCGTCGTTCAGCTAATCCCTTCGATAACGAATCGATCGAGACAGCGAAAAGAGTTCAAGTGGCGGTGCCGTAAGACGGCCTCTGAACACCCGTGGTTGCGATCGACATCGAGTACCCGGCGTAAAGCGGTCTTGGCACGAGGAGCGAGGACTTTTTCGCGATCGGCTCAACCTCGGTCAACCTCGAAGCTTCCTCGTCACCAACACCAACACCGATACCGCCACCACCACCACCACCACCACTGCCACCACTACCACCACCACCAGCACCACCACTACCAACACCACCACTACCACCACCGTCGCCACTACCCTCGTTGTTGTCGTCGGGCGCGATGATGTTCTCGATAGTGAATGGTTTCTTAACCCTCTTCTCCGTATTCGTCGTCAAAACGACCTGGTCCTCACGATTGGAGGGCAACTGAGTTCGCTCGACCTCCACGGCCAGGCTCGAGATCGGCGACAGGTGGCGATAGGATGACTTGGTTGACGTGAGCGAATTCGGGGAGGTGGGTGACGTCGGTGGCGACGAGGCGGCGGTGGTCAGGGCGGTGTTTCGATAGAGATTTATTCTGGACGACGAGGACGAGGACGAGGACGACGAGAGTGGCTCTTCCTCGGCGAGTTTGTCGCGGTTGTAGCCCGACATCTCGTAAGTGTTCTCCGCCCCCGTGAAAATCGTCTCGCTTTCTCTACCGGTGGTAGCGGCGATGCCGTTCTCCAGAGCGCGATCGCTCGACAAACGGCGCTCGTCCCGCATCTCCCGCGTCGGATGGATCGCCTGTCTGCTGGCGGTAGTCTGCTGGATATACGGCAGCTGCGTGACCGCGTACGACGGCGAAACAGCCGGAAAGCCAGAGAAGTTCCAAGAAGCGGCGGAGTGCAGCAACGCAGCGGCCTCGTACGTCCTCAGAATCTCGTTACTGCCATCGGTAGCAGCACCACCCGCGAGTCTCTGTCTCACTTCGGGTGATAGGAGATAGTAGCCGGCGGTGACGGCTTCCGGCGCGGTTGGTCCAGCTGGTAGGCCAGTGGCACCGGCGTCGAATCGTCCGAAGCCGGCCGCGCCGGTGAAATCACCGTGATTCGAGGCTGTGGCGACCATCATTCGCCTCTCCTGTATCTCCCATCGGAGCAGGTCATCCCGTAGACGATGAAGATTCGCCAGGCTGAGACCGTTGCCGGGACACGCGTCGACGATTCCGCCAGTCGACCCGACCGGTTCCGGATGCGGCTGAGGCTGCGGTGGCGGCGGCGGCGGCGGCGGAGGTGGTAACGGCGGCGGCATCGCCGAGGCGAGCGCCTGCAGCTCGGACTTGAGCAGCTCCTTGTCCGGCTTGTGCAGCTTGAAACGCTTCCGTCGGCGGAGGAGCGAACCGTTCTCGAACATGGACAATGCGGCGGGATGCAAGGCCCAGTAGGCTCCCTTTCCTGGCCGATGTGGACCGCGTGGTACCTGAAATTCGGTCGTCCGACTTATTGCATCGAATTATGTACGGTATAATATACATAAGTTGTATACTAGATCTATGGTTTTATTCGTTCAAATCGATTAACTCTATATATTTTAACGATTTAAGTTACGCACTGTCATCTACAGTAAACACGGAGTAAGAAATAAGAATAAAAAATTGACCAATCGTACAGTTGAATGTGAGAAGAATAATCGACTGTGATTTGTCAATTTCTTACTTTTACTTCTTACTCCGCATTAAGCCCGATCTACGTAAACATATAGTTGTAAGAATTCTCCAATCACGTAGTCGGATATTCTCCTCGTATTCAAATGTAGTTCGTCAATTCTTACAATTATAACTTGTACACATTTATTGTAGATCGGGCTTTAAAAGTAAGTAGGCGTGGAAATAGAGCAAAGATTTACATATTATTTTAAAATAGATAATTAATAACATATCAAAGACACTTAATTTGCGCAGAAAAGAAAGAGAAATGGATTTCATTGAATGAGTTAATATATTCAATTTTTTTCAAGCAGAAATGTTATATTATATGAAGAAAAAATTTATATTAGAAACTTTGCAAGACAGTCAAATTGCAACTCAATTCTATTGAACGATGATAGATTACGTGTAGCCATCTGATGACAGATGACAAGACACATGGATATCATATCGATTCGATGTCAATTTTAAGTCTGAGTTAGCTTTGGCAAACTTCGCTTATTTCCAGCGAGAAACGAACATTGATCTGCATCGCATTTGTACTTTGGTTCTATCAAGTGTCACAAATATCTTCTTTTCCATAGATAAAGATTTTATTTGTAGAATGTGCATCTGTATATAGATATTCTCTCTCTCTCTCTCTCTCTCTCTCTCTCTCTCTCTCTCTCTCTCTTGTGCATCATAACTGAAAATTACGTGTAATAATCGAATTATAGTCCCAAGTTGGACAGCTGCCGTCTTACGTGTGAAAAATGAAATACAAGTCCAACGAAAGCTAAGCGTAACCTATACGATATTAAATTAAGCATAGAACAAATGGAGAAAAAACTTGATTCTTAACGACCATGACAAACGAGTATCGGACACGATGCGGAAGACGCAGAATATTTCCGTATATCCTTATAGAACTGGCGAAAGTTGTATATGTATAGGAACGGAAAGTTCAGTCGCGTCCGCATCGGCTGGAAAACTCGGAATCGGTCTGAAACTAGGTCTGCGCTACTTTTGCGGAGTCCACGCTTTGATGAATACGCATTTGTGAAGTGTTGCGCCTTAATTGATATCTCGATGAGCGATCGAGACGGGAAGATGCTGGCAATGCGATGTCCGAGGTAATTACGCGCGCGCGATTCTCGTAAAGCACAACACACTCCGCTCGCATTGCACGCTGAAGTGAGTATAGAGCCCCTGTTTTTCCCCTCTTCTTGGGAGCTATCGCGTGGAAAGAACACCGTCCACCTCGCCGCCTAGCGTCCTCCTCATCGCGACGCGATGGCCGATATAAGACGTAATGTCTTAGCGCGGCAATTGATGAGCTGTAGAGAGCCAGGAGAGCCATTACACAGGAACGAACAGGTTTTACATTTAATAACGCGAAACGATTATCTGCCGATCGGTTGAGTTAATTCGATCGGAAAGGCATAACCTGCTGCCGGACAGATCTCGCGCGGAGGGAAATATATTACCGCCGCTATTATTAGTACCACGCCTCGACGAGAGGTAGACGGGATCAGTCGAGCTGCATACGTTAATTCGCCAGTCTTTTGCGTCGTTTCTTTCCATCGTTACCGCACGGAATTTCATATTACTTATATACGTTTGCGGGGGAGAGAAAGGATTACGTTTAAAAATTCGAAAAATTCCAGTATCGTATGCATGACAAAGAATTTCTTCTTTCATTCGTCGAACGTGTTTTGCATTTATTGTGATATGATACTGGAAAAGGATCGTCGTACTTCGGGATGTTCGAACGATTTAGATCGTTTTACACCGTTTAAATTATCGAAACTTTTTCTATTTAGTATAAAGTACGGATAAATTTATTGTTTCTATAGATTTATATTTTATAGAGAGAAAAAATAGATGTATACTATTTAAAATATTATTACTCGATATAATGTAATGTTATCATGATTTTGATAATGCGTGTATATCCTATAAAATACAACACTTTACTGATCGAGATCGAGATGCAGCCTATTTAAAAATCAAGAAATGTGGTAGAACATATTTTAAATTTATGCAATTTCCTCATCTCAATCAGACTTAAATTTTATCTGCTATTAAAACGAAAATCATTTCTTTTATTTATAAATTATTTGACTAATTATTAACAAATGTTGTTTTTTCATATCGAAAACTGGACTTAAATAGACATCTTTTTACAATTTTTATCGTGTTTATATCTTATTATTCTAATCCTGATAAAGTCTATATACTCTGAATAAAGTATATTCTGTATAAAATCCATTTGATATGGCATAAAAAATATGTAATTTTGTTATTACTTGACACAAAGAATGTTCGTATAAATCCAAACGATTACTTTTCTAAATTTCATAGAAATGATAAACATTTGTAAAAGAATCTGTAAAAAAAAAACAAGCGAGTACATTTTCTGTGTCAACTGTTATAATCTATTATAATGTCAATAACGTCGATTTTAATTAATTCATGATCAATTGCTTCTTCCGGCATAAAATTTCTCGAAAATTTCTCGCAAAGACATTATTGCTTTCCATCGTTTCCACTTATAGTTTCACGCTTTCTAGCGACGGTAATTATTATTCGTTATAAAACAAGGGCCCATATAGGATATTTGCCAATCTGAATGGATCCAATTATTCTATTGCACTTGATAAAAATCCCCATGTCCCCTTTTTTAATTTAAAATTAAAACTTGTGTGTGTGTGTGTTTTTCGAGTAGGTTTGGAAAAGGTGATAACTTTTGTGCACACAGATCAGAAAACAATGATAAATAAACAAATTTCAAAATCGGAACTGTTTGAATATCTTTGTGAGCGAGATATACATGATATGATATATCTAATAATTAAATACGTCGTGGACAAAACGGTTGTAACACTTTTTTACAATAAGTTTCAGAATGCATAGATTTATAATTAATCTGTTTAATTGTAAGAGTAAAACTGAGTTCCGAAATTCATTGAAAAAAAGATGTTACAACGCTTCTGTCCACGACGGTATATTTAGATTTCTCCACTTGTTTAATACAGTAAATTTTTAATAAATTCTAAGCTTTTATTATGAAGTAACTGTATATGTATTACTCACAATTAATTATTATAATAGTAATTACAAAATTAAGAGTTAAAAATTATGTCTACAACTGATTGTAAATAGAATAGCTTTAAAGAATCTAGATTTTAAGTCCAGTTTTTTAAATTGCATCAAACATTGAACTCTTAACAATCGATTGTATCATACAATAAACAGAATCATGATTGATTACATTATATTTATTTAAAAAAAAATTAGCAACCAAAATCCTGCTTGACCGTCATTTGGCCGATTACATATCATATAGTTACTTGTCTTTTTATTATATTTATTATAACATCGTAGCGTAACATTGTAGTGAAAAATTCTTGAATCATCGATATTCACAACAAATACGAATTAAAGTTAAATTACTATTATGTATTATGTTAACGAAAACATACATAAGTAGTACACAAACGTTAGAAATAGAATTTTAGATCACTGTATGATTAGTTATCTCGCATCTTGATAATATTTATATAGATCATTGTATATAGTTACTTATCTCGCAGCGTTCTTTAAACATTTGCCTCTATAATTATAAAATGGTAAGCAAGCGTCATATACCCGTATCAGATTAGAGATTGAGATTGAGATTGAATTTAACCAATCGGAAGAAAGGAAAAACCAATACCAACTTTAAGTGAACTTCATTTTTGATTGGTCAAGTTCTCAATCTCAATCTCTACACGGTATAATCTGACACGGAAATCGGAGAAAGTTTGGAGAAATAGTACGAACTTAAACTTGAGACTCTTAAAAGATTTCGGGCTGCATTTTCTGTAGAATCGTGCAACAAACTATTTTTCCCTGACAGCTTGTAAAAGACATCTTCATACCGTATCGTCGAGATCGTGGTCAAGTTTGTCTCACCCTGCGTAACGCGGGCGCGGTGTGTAAAGTTGAATGTGATTTCATTGTAAGGAGCGAGAAACGAAAGGGGATACCGATCCGTTCTTTCGTAATTTTGAGGAACCGCGGGTGAACGGAACGCGCCATGACGGTGATCGCGCGTTGGCAGGTGCGAAACAGATGGCTCGATAATATACAACCAAACACCTTGCGCGTTGCGTCGTCGCTTCTCTCAAGTCCGCGGACGTTGAAAAGGCGCGCATCATACGTCAATCAAAAGATCCATTCCATCACCCCTCGTTCGACGATCGCGATTTCGCGGATACTACACTTCGCGATCGATTCGTTAAAGCTGCAGACAATATATGACGAAGATCGAACGATACATTATCCCTCGTTAATCATTATTTCTTGCCGATCGACGTTGCGGCTTTGTTGATATCCGTCTAGAGAGATTGGTAAATTAAATTTGATTCAAAATGAGGTTGTAGAAATAAGAGGAACGAATATACGATCGTCGTGTCCACTAGTTTTGCGGTGGCTATCGCAGTCGATGTCGATCAAGACAGGGGGATGGCAGGACTAACCTTGATGAAGCAATCGTTGAAAGACAAGTTGTGCCTCAAGGAGTTCTGCCATCGTCGCGTGTCCTTCCTGTAGTACGGGAAGCGGTCGGCGATGAACTTGTAAATCTCGGCGAGCGGCAGCATCTTGTCCCTCGACGACCATATCGCCATCGCCGTGAGCGATATGTAGGAGTAGGGTGGTTTCTGATCACCGTAGGTATCGCGCGAAGGCCGCGGCATTATCAACGAGAGCGGCGAGATCAGCGATACCGAAGACCAGTCTCTCTCTCTCTCTCTCTCTCTCTCCCTCTCTCTCTCTCTCTCTCTCTATTTCACACTTTTTTTACCCCTCTAGAATAGCAGACGCGCTCTTATTACGTGTGAACGCTCGACACTTGGCACGGCGTTCGCCGATTCTCGCGCGCCAGCATCCTCCGTATTCTCGCGGATCGGCATCAGGAGCACCGACGAGTGGTGGCAGGCTGCTGCTCTCGGTCACGAGCGGAGGCGGAAATTTCCATCGGACCCAACCACGGAGAGACCCGCGGCCGGCCGAGGCGAGCGAGGTTCGACCTCGTACCCCACGCTGCGCGTCGCACGTCTCCTGGTAGATCACAATCCGGACGATTTCCAAGCGACACTGCCGGCGCCGCCACTGGCCGCGAGCGTATTCGCGATATCCGGCGAGGACCCCCGAGCCGAGCACACCCAGGACACACCGAGTACCCGCGATCGCGTCTCCGCGGATACTGCGGCCGATCCATACCCACACCCCCGCAACGGGCTTCCCCTACCTGCGCGCCGACCCATGGCTTCAGCGTGTCCCGGATTGGAGCCCAACGTGGAGCTTACCTTCTCGGCCGGTCTCGCTCGCGCTACCGGCAACCACCTCCGTCCAATGGTATACGATGTGGCTCTCCCACCTCGAGGATGCCGGATGGACGGCCGGCGTGGACGCGAAAAGTGCGTCCTCCATCCGTTCTCGACGGAAGATTCCGGGAGGCGGAGCTCTTTCGCGAATGCCGTTTCGAGTCACCTCCCTCGAGCAAACAGGAACAGCCGAGTCTCGACCAATCCGATCGAGGGCATACTGTGGCTGCCCTCGCCCACCCGGACTCGCCCTGGTTCAGGACTCTCCCGGTTAGCATTCGGGAGAATGAGAAGAGAGAGAGAGAGAGGGAGAGAGAGAGAGAGAGAGAGAGAGAGAGAG